TGCGGTTATTTACTCCTCGCTGGTGTCCTTATTATTGGGACCTCCTTTGAACATTCTGTATTACGTCTTGTTCTTGAGTTTCAAATAAGTTGAGACACACTAATCAGTTGCAAACTTAAAGAAAACAGACCATTCTTTCCAGGTTACATCTTCAATCTCTGACTTAAACGGATCACATACGCTTTTGCAGAATAAAGAGGTTCTGTGTGACGGCGAAATAGAAATCTCTCCCAACAGATCTATCCCTAACAACTTTCACCTAACCGCAGCAAATCTAAACTTACCCATGTCTAACTGTTTACTCCTTCAGACATTCTTACTGGAAATCTATCCACATGAACGTCGGACATTCTTCAAACTGGATATCAAGAAAATTTGGATAGCAGTAACTCTGCCACTTATCGTGTTTATCTGTGTATCACTGAGATCGTACTTTCGAGTTACATCCGGTGATCTCATCAGATGACTGCAGTCGACCATCCCAAAACTCAAGGTAACTTCCTTATGGGGACAATCAACCTTTCAAAGATTTTTCGTCAAACAGAAGATAGATAAATTTTTGATACGAAGAGGCATCTTCATAAGTGTTGGTTTTGTTCAACACAAATGTCTTGAAATCTGTGTACAGTGGTGGTGTCTTGATGCAGTTCTATTCATTCGATAAGCAGAGTTTTGCAAATGGCAAAACTTTTGCAAACGTTATTTTGGTTTTCATGTTCCAAGGGTTCATGGAGTTTTGGTGCTCCTGGAGACCCGCACTGTCTTGTTCAAGAAGATATATCCTTGTGAAGGTGTGGCGTGATACGGCCGGTCAACGTTTTTCCAGAGCATCGACGAGCAAAAGTGTGGAGGCTATAAATGCTGAAGAACATGCGCTCAGTTTGTAGTTGCGGAAGACAAAGATGATGATTTCATCTTGCTTTGTGAAGAACGCCTCCATTTTTAGTCTGTGCTTACCTAATTGTCTCTCACACATTTCGATCCGTGTGTTAGTGTTCTCATTCAATGGGGACGCTTGCCTGTATGTTAAATCTTTGTCAAACATGTGCTTCCTTTCGAAGTTTCTTGTGTATCCCCGAAGCTTCAAATATAGTTCGTTGGAGGCTTCAAAAAGGAGGCTATACAGTTTTGATTTGCTGTTTGCAGAGTTACGGTTGTGTTGTCCAGCACAATAAAAATGATTGCAACAACTGTTTGGACTAGGTGTACTCGTTTAGCTCTTCCGTAAATTTTTCATGACTTTATGCTAAACCGCCAGAGCCTCCAAATCATTAACGTTTGGTTAGTAAGTACATTATAATGATGATTTTGTGCAACGGTTACATCAGACCTTCCGCTGTTTGTATGGAGACCGAAAATTCTCATGATTACCTTTGGCGTTTACACTCATTGGACAGCTTGACGATCACCCAATTCTTTCAGATGAGAGCTTTTATGTGATCCTTCGTAACTGGGTCCCGTTAAGGGTAAGGAGCTGAAAAGTTGGCAAGTGAATGACTGGCTGATTTCGAACCCAGCTAGGTTGGGGCGCGGTGAAAACCCCATCTGACTGATTTTGAAGACTGCTATTATTATTATTATTATTATTATTATTATTATTATTATTATATCAAACCAACACCACACGTTTATGCGTCATCCAGGAAAGCGAAGCGCTTTTTGGAGATCCACAGGGGCTTTTATGCGTCTCCAGGAAAGCGAAGCGCTTTTTGGAGATCCACAGGGGCTCCGGAATACTTCCTGATTGCGTGAGAACGCAAGATTGGTAAAAATTATTAAGCAGTGTTGTGTTCTTGTAGTAACGGTATTTTCCTCAGCTTAGTTCTCGGTCTGAGCCTCCCAAGCTAGCCTTCACGTCAAAACAACCACCAAAGGTGCATAAGGTCTATTAATGCCCAAAACGAAGTCAAGAACAGTTGTACAGCGCTTCGTATAAATGGCGTAAGCCGTTATAACTTTCTGGAATTTCTGACGCGTTCTGGATGCGCCATTGGCAACCGGCATTTGGCCAATACTGGGTCATGATTAGCTGTTGGGTCCAGATTGTTGACCAATCAGATCTTGTCTTGATGACGGACCGGCAATCGTCCCGAATTCTGGGCCAATCTCGTGCGGGCCGAGCTTATCGGCCGTAGCAGCGCCTAGAGACGTGTGGTATAGCGGGATCCGTGTGGATTCCTGCCTAACAGTTCTGTTGGTGTTGGGTATCAAACAGTCGTGGTAATGAATGAAAAGTAAAAGAATATTTTTATCTTATTCCTTTTCCACTTTTATTTTCCTAAATTTCACTGATTCTCATTTTTCTTTTCACATTCTGCAAGGTGGTTTTTTCTGTGACCCAACTCTAGGCCTCCTTATAGTTTGCCTGGAGATTTTATGACTTATCAGGCACTAACGAGTGTCGATATTATCATTCTGAATGACAATATGTGTCGTTTTAAAACCGGATGGCTTGTGATCGGCGGAAAGTTACCTAACTACTGACTTTGAATCCAAATGTTTATTCTTTAACAATTTGGAGGACCTCCAATTGAAATTAGTTAACCTTCTGGACGTTAGGTAATACTGAATTTTCGGTTCATGACAATTTACTCCTGTCAGGGAAGAGTGGGTACGGTGATTGCCATTACAATATGTTTGGGGATTCTAAGTCTAGGCGAGGCTTGAAGCTGGGAGCGGGCAGTAGCAACCCCAATGAAGGACAATCAGATTTATCCCAAATTATCCAGTTATTGTCAGCTAAAAAAGAGATATACGGAAGTTTGATAAACTAAGACTTGCACCCGAAACAGGGAGAGCTGAGAAGTCAGAAGGATACAGAAAAAGCCTAAAGCCTTCAACTGTTGACCGTTCCACAGAAATTTAACCAGAAATATACACGTGGACTAGGTTGGATCTCTCACTTTGATTGTTTCACTTGTAGCTGAAAGTGGAACCCAGCTGCATCTCACGTTCGCGATGTTTTTGTAGATGGATCTTCCGTCAAAAACAAGCTTATAGGCAGATGAAAGCACAAGTGGAATTTTTTTCAACTTACGCTCAATTAGAACATAAGGTTTACAGGAACTCGGGGAGTATGCACACCTGATGAGCCTCCAGAAGGGCAAAACGGTCGGGTGCTGTCGGAGAGTTATAAGCAACCTTACGAGTAGCGTATTAAATCCAGAAGACATACTTTGACCACTCAACTGGTATTTTGCTGAATGTATACTTAACCTCAGTCGATTTTAAGTGATTGTGCTTGATTAACTAGGCTACGAGATCTTCAGATTCCTTGTGAATGTTTGCAGTATGTAAACAAGCAGCCGATACTCAAACTATGTCACTTGTAAAAAACGTCATTTTAGAAATAGCTCAACGCTTCATGATTTTAGCTGCCGTGTGTGAGGAGTCTGATGCCCCTTAAATCACCCTAGGAACTTTGTAAATTAATCCAACAACAGAAAACATCTCCGAAGAACCGTTAGCTACGCATAACTAATGAACCTACCAAATGGACGGAAACGGATTTTCCGAGTTCTTCGCGATTTTCTATCCAACTACTTCTTCCAAAATAGGGGTAGTGGGTTTTCCGTTTACCGTTTGCATTATTTCGATGTTTAGTTGATTCGNTATAGTCTCCCGAAATAAACTCTTGCAGCCACTTCGAACTCACTTCTGCTCTTTGGGTTGTTGGTTCATAGTGAAAATGCTGGTAACTTCATACCGGATATATTGCATGAATCGTTCGACAGTCTGACTCCAAGTACTTCAAACTTGTTCAGTTGTAAAAACGGCGTACACCTTGTACCGTGGTTACAGTTGCCACACTGTCGTTCACCGGTCACTTCGTGAGTTGGATTTGGTGGAAGCAGTGCCTGATGTAATTGTATCAATACAGGGGTACCAGTGGGATTCCGATTGGAGAGATCGGGAGGGTTAGCTGTGCACTGAAGGAAATAGCTCAGATGCACGCTCACTATTGACAGCGCGACTGGGCCGCGCCTAAAAATACCTATATCTACTGATGTTCCTTCTTGGGGTTCCCATCCAGGGAGATAAATGAGTTTGCTGGTAGTGGCTTTCCTACTTCACTGCCAAGTCATTACTAGACTTCCTGTGGCGCGTTTTTGCAAAGTAAAAGCTGTTTGAGGATGCCGTTCGACTGGCTTACGGAACACATGACCGAACCAGCACAGTAATCAGTTCATCTACCGTGGGCGAGTTATTTCTTAATAAAACCATTCTACGTGCTACAAGATTACCCAACCGATGTTCCCATCAGACTTACGTAGTGCGTAGAAGACAATGATGGTGAAACACGGGAAGTTTAGGATGCTCTCAGAATACGACGACCAATTTCTGACCCAAATATCAATGTGGAGCACATCAGTGTATTGTGAACTCAATTACTGATAGATGTATGCGACAGGTGACGCAGGTTCATAAAAGCTGCTCTGGCCTTCCAAATCCGAATGGAAATATCGCCTTTGGCTAAACTGCCGGGACCAAAACAAATGCTCAGGTAGGCGACTTTGTCTACTACCGCAATGGGCTCAACCATCAGCACGAGTACTGGGTTCAATCCCGCCCAGTTTTGCAGTGGCACTGTGTAGTTCGCAGGTGTGAACCACATGCCAAACCGTTAGGCAGGTTTATTTAGATCACTCAGTATCATTTTCATTGCATTTGTGGTATGCTGACTGCGTATTCGGTATCTGTGAGCGAATGCCCTGGGAGTGCTTCAACCCAGGCGTTAGAGCGTGACCGTGCGCCTTCCATAATCATATCAACAAAGAAATGGAAGAGGAGATATGGAACAAGACGCCATCGGACATGGTGAGCTGAGGCGAGCGACTGCCATGCAACTTCACGCATCCATGAGGGTTTGCATAAAGTGTTGTCAGAAGGACCAAAAATTTATGGAGAGCAAATCTGCTCCGTGGACACCACCATAGTGTTTGAAGGTCCATAGGTAACTTTTAAGTCAAGAACTTTCACCACTTTCATTCCTAAAATCAATGTCGGGATTCAATAATTTCTCGGAGGGTGAATATGTGATTGGTGCGTCTTGTTGCAGGACTGAATTCAGCTCGGTATTCACGGATCGGCCTTCTGCTTTGTTGAGTGAACTTCCGAAGGATAGAACCATAGAGCACCTTCGACGCCAAAGCTGGTAAGCAGATGCCACAGTAGTTTTCATACGCTGTTTGCGTGCCCTTTTTAAAGAGAGGAGTAGCAATCGGCGTGCCAAATCTTGTAGCAAGAATACTCACCGGATGCGCAACTGTGGGTTGACCGCTTTCTTTGAAGAGGGCTGGATGCAGATTGTGCGGTTCTGGTGCCGTCTCCTGTTTCACTACGGATATTTCGTATTTTATTTCGCTTGCATTCCGTCCACCCTTATGCACTGTGTCCTATTGTTGTGCTAGAGCTGAACAGTTTTTCGAAATGGGTGAGATCTAGGAGACACTATTTGGTCCACTGCTAATCTGCATTTGTTGGCTGCCAGGTTACGCGGCTCAAGCGCTTATGTTGAACATCTGTGGTGGCCAGAAACAGTTCACGGTCGTCTCACAGGTGAAGTAGTCACTGTGCGTTATCTGTGCGGTGGCAATCGACTCTTAATGGGCCATAGAGAGGTGATTCGAAGGAGCTCAGACGATCGGCTTTGGCATTAACATTAGCCACAAAGATGACAGTTCCAGTGGCTTTTGCCACGATAAATCTTCATGAAAAGCACCCTTCTAAGTGTCAGAATTACAGTCCGTTTGGCCGCATGCCAACATTACCAACAGGCACTGTTTTTTTTCATGTCGAGAGGCAGTGAGGTTGATCGAGCTGGATAATCGAACGGCACAAGGACGACTGTTCATTAGAATCCTATCTGGCAAAGTGGGTTCATCTCTGGGGCTGAGTAACTCCTACGCTTACTCGCTTCTGGACGACCGGAAACACGAACAGTGAAGTGTGACAGGAACACAACATATATAAATTTTGAGGGTTTACAGGTCTGGGAGGGCACTATCCGCCTGCCAGTTTGACAGAGTACGGACTGTGCTGTGGAGTGTTTCTCGCCTTTTCCGTACAGATTCGCTGATAAGTTGCATTGCATGAGACATCTGAAAGAATGTGAAACTACCTTGAATGACCACTCTCCCCTCTCCAATCAGGAAATTATACTAGGTTTAGAATTATGCTTCCGATCTAGTTTGTTCACTTTCAGAGGCGAGGTTTACCACCAGACTAACAGAGCCACCATAGGTTTACCAATCTACTCACAGCATAGAGTTAGCTTTCAGGCAGCCAGCAATTTTGATTTTCTTCTGAGAGTTTGGCTGAAATACAATTTCATCAGAAGCGCAAGTTATATGGACTAGTTTGACCATATTTCAATACTTTGTGAAATTCCATTCGCTTCACTGTACAAAGTGAGGCACCCTGATTGCAAAGTCACTTGGATCCATGATCAAACAACCTACATCAAACCAAATTAATCGGATCAGTACTTAAGCTTTAGCTCTACTCAAGCATTGATTATGAAGACTGCGATAATTCGTCTATTGGCACATCGATCGAGTACGATTTGCTTTGCCCGAAAACTGGAATGTCTTATTAAACAAACATTTAAAATCGCTATCTAACTCGTTTAATCAAAACTGCATTTAGGGTACCCAAACAAGATGCAGCAGCCGGGCAATGCATTGAACTGAGTGATACCATACCGGTAGCACACATGTAAATGTATCCACTGCATACCACCAGCTTCATAATCCGCACCACTTTCCAAACACATTACGGAGACAACTGGTTCCCACAAAAGACCTGTTTCAGTCGGATCACTGCAAAACTTGAGTCAAAAAGACTGACAGTATGGTGTGTGCCATTGTGGAAATTAGCAAAATCAACGGACATAAACGATATTTCAAGCCACCTGTTTCAAGAGAGGCGAGACTGTTGAACAAATTAGACGGTTGCTGAAAAACGCGTCGACAGCCCACAATCGGGTTGAGTCTTCTTAGGGCTCATCAGTTGGGCACAGTCCCTGATTTTCCGTTAACCTTATATTCGCTTGAACCCCAATCGAAACTATTTCGACAACTACGCTCATTTATATATCACTTTGGTTTTGACGAGAGACCCACGTGGAAGAACATTATAAAAGGGAGATTCAGCCGGGTTCCAGGTGAGTTTCCTGTCAAAACCCAACCGATACACAAACGAGTGTATTTGTCGAACACAGCGGGTACTGCAATCCATGCATTAGCTGGGGACCGTCGATTTAACTTTGATAACCTGTATACACTGCATGCATGTGGACAGAGTTGCTGTGCTGAACTAGTGGCCATTCATACGAGATATTCGTCCGTCAGCAAAGGCGAGTCAAGTACCGCAGACCGCACGACAACAGTCCCAAGCATACATAAGCGCATGCGTAAGAGCCAGGAAGAAGTTTTCGTATCATTTACAGCACATGCGACATTGCATTGACCAGTTCTGTTTGACCACAGTGATAAGGTTTTGATGTCAATCCTGTAAGGCTTAATGAAGACCACCTTCGCTGGTTGGCTCTATCAGTTCCACTCAACAGTTCCTTTGTGAAGTCAACACCATTTCACTGCTTATTACCAGGCTTCTTTCCGACAGGCAGTTTATACCACTTACCACTACCAAACGTTAATTTATTAAAGTACAACATTCTAAAAGAATCTTGCCATTATCATGTAAAGTCCACAGAGAGCATCGCATAATCATTCTTCTTTTGGAAACGACATTTCTCTTCAAACTCCTATCAAATAATTGTCGGACCTAGAAAACACTTTTACTCCAGTTGAACTTACTTATTTACTGTGCACCACAAATGAAAAAAACGGTTGCGGTTTGTTCTGTTCGTACTTTCAAACGTACCAGAGTTCACTGATGTTCAGAAAGAAGATATTGTGTGTATCCTTATGGATGCACTTCAGAAGCACCTCTTTGTCTGTATCTTTACATTACTGTGTTGTCCTTCTGAATCATTTCAGATGCACCCCACATTCTTTAGTTTAGGTGAATATCGTCTCATACTGCACTTGAGGATGCCTAGCGAGTAATAACCTACTACATGTTTATCAGCAATTCCAACCAGACTCAAACTTCTAAAGCAAATTTTTCGTGAACTCTATGTTTCGGTATAGCCGTACGAATAAATCCCTTATGTGCGTTTTCTGTTGATTTTCGATTTCAATACAGATCTATTGCGCTGAGGAGATTCCAGGCCATTGGAAACGGAGTTTCGTGCATAAATAGATGGAAGGCATACTAACAAAAAGTCTAGTCTGTCATAGGAAGCCTTGGACCGAGCATGTTTCTCCGCTGACAGATCTCTAAGTTGCGCATAAATTGTGTTAGCTGAGAACATAATAGTCTCTTTAGGTAAGTAAGACTTCTCTGGAGAATGAGGTGTGAGAACAGCTAATGATTAGTGGCAAGCTGCAATCAGAAATTCTCAGATATCTGGACCTACCACTCAATTATCCTGCCATATGAAGAGCAAGCATCATTCGCATTTTCTTTTTAAGGATTTACCTTCATCGTGCCATGAATCGTTGTTTGTTATTTTGGTTATCTATAACTATCTGGCGTTGGGTTTTCGCGCAAAGCGGTTTGACGTGTGACTTGTCTTTTGGTGGTTTTAGGAGAACGCGAAGGCTGATCAAGGAGTGCCTACTTCTGGTTTGTGGACGGTTCAACACACCTTCAAACTGACACGACCTTTGGTTATTCAAAAGAGCCGCCTCCGAACACTGAGTCAGGTTTAGAATTTTGTGCAAGACATTGTTAGTACTGATTTAAGTACGTGAAAAACCATTAGGTTCAAAATTGTCGCAATGCCTCCACTGACCTTGCAATGTGCTGACTTCAGACGTTGAATCTGTTCTTCGTCTTCCGTGAGATTATGATCCCCTTCAGAATGGAACTACTACCCAATGTTGAGCCAGGTGGAATTTCAACGAAACCTGTACTGTTGTGATTATATCCTTCTTTTATCCACTATTCTAACGTGAAGATTGTGGTAGTCAGCGAATTTGGAGAGCTACTTACAAAACAGTGAAAGCCTTTCACTTCCAGTCATTCATGAGGATCAGGCCATTCATGTTATCGCATTAGCTTGCCTGTCTTTCACAAAATAATTAATCGGAGAGATCTGGAATAAATTTGACCTTTATCGCCTGGGACGCTTAAACTAATAGGTGACGTTTAGGTAACACTGGAATTTTAGGCGCTCGTGAGTCTTACATATGAGAAGCGAATCGACAAAAGCGTCCCTAACTTTATCGTCCTTCTTCTAACACCATGTTTTTATCAGTAATGTCTTGCTGTAACTGCCAACTTTTTGTTGTAGTGGTATGGAGAAGTATACTTATTCGCAACTGAAGTTGGTCTTAACGGTCTTAACTGAATTTCAGCTGAAGCTTCCGTTTATGATGGACACATTCAGCTGACTCTGCTGCACAATGGCCGTCTCACGTTTCAGTTGGAAGGGTAATCGAGGCAGAGCCATCAGGAAAACGTGCTATTTTATCTCGGATATCGTACCAAGACATGAGACAATCGGTATGCAGCACAATCAGTCGAAGGACACCAAAAACGAGAGATGTAGCTGAGGTGGATCGGGTCTCCCGTTAACACCAAATTAACACTAACTCAAATAGCAGATAACTTCGTTTTACCGATTGCGTATAGTTTGATGTTCAAATGCGATATAACTTTGAGGAAACGTCAGAGTCCCAGGAAAAGTGAAACAGTTCGAGGGCTGTCGAAGAATTATCAGCAAAAATTGTGGGTGTGATATGCTAAATTTTTCCTAGCAGTGGCTCCAGGTACGACTGGTAAGCGTGTGCCCATAAACCCCCATATGAATACGGCTCCTTTATTTTTACTGTGACCTAAGTTGATCTACTGTTTATCAATGAATATTGGCCGGATGGTAGTTTATCCGATCGCTGAAACAGCCAGTCATTGTCTATGGATCTCCACAGTAAGCAGACAAATTTATATTTCAACAGGTTTAGCAAAGACAGACTGACAACAAGGACAAGCAACATTTAAAAATACACAAATCAAACCGGCCAAATGCTCCGATACACCGCCTTTCATCGAATGGCATTCCAAATGACCACGACCAGTGTAGACAGACAGAGGTTTCGGCCCGCTTCTGTCCCACTTTTTTTCTCTTCCACGCCTGAAACAGAGCAAAACCGATCGACTAGTATAGCCTTATTACAATGTATAAGGGATTCGTACCTTTTGAGATTCCTAGGTGGTATGTGTGTGTACAACCTGCTTGGTGAGCCCTACTGGGGGGTGGCGAATTTCACATCTTTTGATTCGTGAAAAGAGTACAATGATTTGAGTCAAATTTTTGAAGGCTGTACAATAAGCTATTTCAGATATTTCAGTGGATAACTATCAGTACAATAGCTAAGAGTAAGCCGAAAACATAAGTTTTTGTGATACATGGTTTATACAGAAATACCGAAACCCGCATTCCGCTTCAGTAACATGGCTTTATTGTGACAGCCCTCATACCCTCATTCTAAATGCATGTACCAAACAAAGTGTACCGCTAACCCCCAAAATGATTAAATATTTTATTGCATTTAGAAGGGGTCAATTATCAGCTACTTTTAACATGATAACTTTGCCCAAAGTTCATATTTAGAAGCAGCAAAAACTAGTAAGCAATATGAGAATAAAGTATCAAAGTCAGATGGCTGCTCAAGCAAATGTGGTAATTCACTAGTTGAACTCTTGTGGTTATTGCTCCTTGAAGAAAAGAATGGATTGAAACACCAAAACATTTTACCAATTTAAATTTAAGGACTCTTTTGCCAATAACGCGTTTTTTCGCTAATTTCAAGTTGCGCTGGTGGTCTGGTTAAAAACATTGTTTGTTATCATTTTCAAGGAAAACCGAACTGTTCAGCCTCCCTTGGTTTGTCACTTACGTGGGAAAGAAACCTCTTTCAGGCCAAACATTTGTGGAATCGGACTGGTTACCCGCACAATTTCTTCTCCGAGGACCGAATTATTGGCTGGTACACCAAAGTATGCAAGCTCATCCTTTCTAAAGTGCAAACCCAGGACCGCATTCTCCTTTTGCCGCCCATGCATGTCACAGCCGAATTGCAATTTGTGAAGTATCTTGCTTCGTTTGAAAGCCTTCCACATCTGAAATCGAAACTTCGTTATTTGTTCAACAACATTTAGTAGTGGGATTTCTTCAGATAAGGAGACTTATACCAGATTACCAGGAATATGAATCGGATGTTAAATGACAACTGGAATTTGTTTCCAAATTTTGCGGGACCAAACCCATATTGGATTCCCTCCTCAGGTTTCATGACCCACTATTTCGGTCTGTATCAAATGGAGGGACAGCCCTAAATTTCTTTTGTTTTAAGTCATTAAGGGCTTTCTATCCAGTCATTCAGACATCCGCTCAAGTCATATTGTTTAACATTACAAGAGAGCCTATCTTTTCTTCAATAAGGCATTGTGGATAAAATAACCAAGTCGCTCAATGAACGCCGTGAAAAATTTTGTGGGCGATTATTTGGTTCAGAAAAAACTTACATGATATTGGTCAAAGAACAGTATTGCTTTTTTAGATATCTAAGCAAAGCGAAGAAAAGTGTGCCCACTTGCAGCCCTCAAAATTTAGTTGAGGAACATAGAAGTTGGCAACAACGTAAGTTTTGTCGCCACTTCTAATATATGATTACTTGTTTCTTGAAGAAAACTGATTGGGTGTCTTTGGAGACGGGTCAAAACATAATAAAATATATACGCATACACACATATCACCATGCATATAGATATGTATACATACACTTCACGTAGTAAACATAACGTAAAACCATTTGCCTTTCACCTCTCATCCTACTTATATTGTTACTTATATTGAGTAACACTTTGCCGTTCTGATGATAGCTCAACCGTTTTTCCGACAGACTGCTATCAACTCCTGCTAATGCATTTCCGAAAAAAAGGGAACTAGTGAGTCGTACTTGAAAGCAAACGGAGGTTGACACTTTCATTTATGTCCCTGCGCGACAGCCGCACCACAGATATGATCCTTCTAAACCGCTGCGGTCAGTAAAGGAAATTGGAAAAACATGACTGTCATTGCAGCGCAGTTTACTCAGCTATGATCACATCTGACTGACTTGTGGTAAATATTCCTTCAGTCCTCTCAACTCCTGAGAAGATCGCAATGGCCAATTTTCCGTCATAAATTTATGTTATTATTGAACACATATATTGGGATTTCAAGGATACCACAGCACGTTTTCTGGGAGATGAATACATCCCAGCTTAGTCTTTCTGTGTCGGATGCGACAGAACTCGTGAGTTGTCCGGTAACAATAATATTTCTTGCAGAAAAGCCGCATAATATAAGGATAACGCCAACACAAGTCATAAAGTTTATAGAAATATATGGATTAACATCGTAGATGGGGGAGTAGATACGGATACAGGTAGACTGGTATGAGAGCCGATGTACTAGTGAGGGGCACGGTCTAATAAGGTATGTGTATGAAACAGAATTGTGATTAGCACGCGATTATTCATTTGATTAGCAAAGGGATTTAGACATCCAGAAGATATTAGTAGAGAACCAATATGGTGTTCTTTGAGTATCTTAGGAAGTGGCTTATTTATCTAATACTCTGGTTACCTGAAATAAGGCGTAGCAATTGTGACCTGTTAGTTAATCTCCAAATTACCAAATAAACCCTTTTATCTATGGGTGACTTCTTATACGTTGCACGCTTGTAAGAACCTTCTCTGAGGTAGTGCGCACTTCAATTTTACTCAAAAAGACCAATTCCGGGTAATTGTATCGTGGCCTTCAGCTGCAATAAACTCAAACAGTTGTTTTATGTGACCACTGTATTCTCGAAAGACCGAAAACAATCGATTGAGGGACATCTGCCCATCCTTCACACATGAAAAGCTGTTCGGTCATATAAATATAAATATGTATACATATACTATTAGAAAGTAACAGCACGATAGCTCACGACCGGTTTCGTCCTTATTGAGGATCATCAGGCAGGCACAGTCCTTGAGTTTCAGTCCACCAAAACTTCACCAAGTTAGCGAACTACACTCATTTGCATACCGGTTTGGTTTTGCCTGGAGACTCACCTGAAACCCAGCTAAATTTCTCATTCATGATGATTGCGCCCACCTGAGGAGCCCCAAGAAGTGCGAAAATTGTCAGCAACCTTATGAGTAGTGTGTTACGTCCATGCATGTATCGCGACATCTTGAATATCACAACATGAGGCGGCCTGATTCAGCAGATTCAGTTGCCTCAGAACATCATGAAGGAGAGATTCAGCTAGGTTCCAGGCAAGTATCCCGTGGAAACCAAATTGGTGCGCAACTGAGTGCATTTCACTAACAGCACGATACTCTTAGTACGACTCACAAGAGTCGTTTCCTGTGTAAAATAATATGGATTGAATGACGAGGTAACTGACACAACTAGATGCGACAGTTCATGCTCTGTCAGCTGTACTGTAAATTGGCTAACCCAAATCTGACTCTCCATTGGAGCAATGTATAATTTAGTAGATAGAAGCCTCGGCGTTTTTCGATGTTGGTTTACATCGAAGAAAATCACGTCAAGCTACACTTTATAATGAAGTTGTCCTAGGCACTTACGTTCCCTATATTCTCCACCAGATTTCCTGATTATCAACCGGGCCGAAATAGGGGCAGCTTTAATTGCGCTGCCAAAATAGAGCTTACTGGAATTAGTTAAAAAATCAGGCTTCCAAAAAGTAAGCAGAAATTGAACTCAGCAAACAAATGAAGTCAACTAGTGCCTGAAAACTAAATACTCTCAAATGTGCAAGTTGAAAAAGCCAAGCGATGGGATTGCTGCTTATTCGTTAAAGAAGAGGGCACTTGTCTTAATGGTGGACGATAATGCCGGTAACTTTCATGTCAGACGTTTAAAGGCCTTGTTGTGTGTGTAGAAGTAAATGAAATTCTCTGCTTCATTCCGTTCATCAAGCAAAGAAGAATAAATAAACTACTTATTCCTGCCCTTATAACAGGTCTTTGATCTTATTTGTTTGTTCTGTACAGATTTGTATGCAACTTATTATCTTTATAACCTGTCTCAGTTATGATCAAAGCAACTGACTATTTTGGCTGATAAGTGAAAAAGTCATCCCATATCCGGAGTCCCATATCTCTTCGTGGGTTTAAGGGGCCTTGTTGCTTACTGGAGTTTGAAAAAAACGACCTGTTCCGATGAACAGAGCTGGTGTTTATTCCCAAACACCGGTGGTCAAGTCCAGTACCGAATGTATTAGCCCGGGCCTGGCTTGCATGTTAACTAGTGGGTTTTAGTATCGCGGCAGGTGAGATTAAACCTGATTGCAACACCGCATTCTATCCATGTTCTTTCCTCCCATCTCAGGGAACATGGGAAATTACTATTTATGATTCTCAGGACGAAGAGTAGAATGTCTGGCAACCTAGTTATTAAAACCCGAGAATTTCTGACCTAAACACGTCGGAAAGTTAGTGACATAAAATTAGGCCCAGTAGAATCTTCAGACAGGATTTATCAGTGAAGCAATTCGGGGTTTCGAGTCGCTTGTGTTCGTCTCATACTAGTTCAGTGAATAGCAGATAATAAGAGCTCTTAACAGGATAAACGTGACCGTTGGTTTTTACCTAACTTCACAATGGTCTGGTGTTCTAAATATCAACGAGGATACTTGCTTGAGTAACATCTTGTGGAAGAAAAAGGGAACCTGTGTTGGGACGATCCACCGATGGTTGTGATGGATACATGTTGCTGTGCCCAACCTTGCATAGCATGACAGATTAGTAGCTGGTAATCTGTAATCAAGTTAGCTTAATAAACGGCCGAATGTTGCGTTAATTCTGATCGTGTTTGTGTGAGAACGCTGGTGTACATTTTTGGACAAATAATCAGAGAGATCAATACCAGACACGCGTTCTCAATGTTGATCTTTTGGGTCTTTTGAATCCCAACGTAAATTACATGATAAGTGTCTGATTGAAAATATTATCTGTCAACCTGCAATCGAAACGGGGGTCTAAAATAATACCTGAAACTCTCAGTGAGACCGTACTTGCAAGAAATTTCAAAAGTCAGTCTGACAGCTGTTTAAGGATTGCTCAATAGAATTTCGTGGTTAGTCATTGACCAAAAGTCCTCAAACTCATACAATAATCAATACGTGCAATCACTCTCCGTCTCATTCTTCGCTATTTCATGGGTGTCGAAGGTATTTTCGTCCCACACATTAAACCGGTTCATGATGTAAAGCCAAGAAGAATTGTGCGGTTGCTGGAAATCATCAGTAGGGCGCATCTCGCGGATTTTAAGGAGACTTATACAAGCATGATAAAAACTGGTATCCGAACAGTAAACCGTCTGTCACGTCATCGAACAGTCGAGACCCAACCACGTGACCGGAACTGTGTGACAGAATGTTGCCCACGCTATATCCGCTCTAATTAAGAGCTAATCGCACTACTGATCAGCCACTAACGGAAGAATATTCATCATCGAGGAATTCAAAAGACCTGCATTACCTATGATGGCCAATAGGAGCAAAGCAGCTTTATTGTGCTTTCCGGACTTTCCGCCTTCATTGTCCCGCTTGTTGTCAGTTCATACATATTACACAAGTTGCAGTTCCTGTCGTTATTTTTACCTTTGAGCATGTGAAAGCTACGCAGTTGCAACCGTTACCAAGGTAGTTGTCCTGAAAGCTCACGAAAAACGTGGGAAATCGTAACCGTGGTTTGATTCGATTTATTCTTCATCCTGTAGTACGTTCACAATTTCATCCCACAAGAATTTCTTGCACGCTTTCCAAAATATGAAAGTACCCTTTGAGAATATAAACTGCATATATAAACACACTCGTGAGTGACAAAAAACCATGACTCACGAAATTGCATAGGCGGGCTTCCATTAGAAGATGATCAGCGCCCGAATTAACGTCGTACTTATCATCCAAAGGAAATTCCGACCCTTTCGGATCCACCACTGTCGCTATGAGCTGATAGGCTACGTGGCAGAATAAGGTGATTATGTCAGTAGAAAAATTCCAGAATGTAAAATACGGCAGCCAATAACAGAATAATATTCATTCTACAGCATATACGTACATAATTGAATCCCCAAAGAGTCACCTACCGACTACTGAGGCTAAGATGACTTGGAATCACAGGAGTATCCCAAACTTTCGATTCTGAAATAGCACACGCGTTTTATTGCAAAAATCACCGTGATGCAGCACTGCTTTTTCTTGAATGACCACTTGAAATTCCACACGTCGATAAGGAATACACACATGAATGGTCTGCTACTTGAATTCGATGATGAAACGGCGTATGTTATTTTGAGCCTAGTTTATGTTTACTCTTGCAGCATTGTTCTTAAATGAATAAACTTTTTTAATAAATGAGTAGCAATTGAGAGATCACCCCATGACTAATGTGTAACGCCACATTTCCGTAATAATTAAAGACGCTATCTCATCTCTTGTGAAGTATCTATGTTTCATTTCAGAATTTAACGCCACAGGCAAAGTCGGTCTAAGTTTAAAGGCCTAGGATAACCGTATTAGCGTATTGTCATCAACCATGCGCTTCCCACGAAACTGTGACCGCTGACTAACCCCTGTGGAGTCCTACAAATACCCTTGGCCCAGTACTACCAAAAAACTCAAACCTGATAGTTTTACAACACCTGTGATCAACTCGCACTTCGAAAAGAAGCAGACCGATGCATTGCACACAAGATAATCTAATATCTTTGGCCTCTTTCAGCTACGACTCTTCGGGTCTCTGAGACTAATGAAACGACGTCCTTCCCGTTTTGTAAGCAGCAGAATAATCTTGCAGGTTTTCTTTCTCAAATGAATTTAACCACAATAATCTGTTTCCCCGCTTATCACAATGAAGTGCAGCCTACAAATGAAGCTTTCAGATATCTGAACTATCTAATGATATAGGTTACCGATCAGAATGGAGAACCTCAAACTCTGGGTTGCTGATTTAGAAGCCAGTAGCTAGGAATATGATATGTGTAGTTAAGGTTAGGTGGGGCTACATCCAGAATACTTTCGAGTTAATCGCAATGCTAATCAATCAACGGTAGCTAAACTTTACAGAGTAAAAATTTTCAGTGAGAACTTTCCTCGTTTATAGCATTTTTTGAATTCCTCATCTAAATCTCCACTGATTGGAAACACCAACAATGTTGTTAGGAGGTGGGAAGCAAGGATCTATAATCCTAAAATGAGGAATTCTCCGTGTTGTAAACATCGTACACTCGGTGGCACCAGTTATTTGCTCCACAAAGGTAACTCACAAAGAAGCGAATGCAGTTTGGTCACAAATCGGTACGATAATTGCTTTACAACACTCGGAAAAAGCTAAACACTGAGAACGCGTTAGTGTTCCAAAAAGAATTCTTTTGGCCTGGGAATGACTTTGTACAGGGGTCGCATCAGAGCTTTTGTTGCTAACTTAAAGAGGCATATGCTCAGAAGACGAAAAAAATGTATGCCTGTTAGAAAAACGCAAAGTATTTTTTCGTTTTACCGTGACCTGGATGAAGATAATTTGACTCAAGTACATGCTGTTGTAATTTTTATTTAATTCCTAACGTTAGAAATGTTGGTGGAACACTACATGCTATCGGATGTGATATCGATTTTTTGGTTTACCAACCGATGATCATCTCTTATCTAGGGATCTGCTTTCCTCAATCCGCTAAGGCTGTTATTGGACTGGGACTTCCTAAGGTCGCAGTCAGTGACTTGTGTTTGCTTGCCATTGTGGGCTCTCTACGTACTTATGACACATTTATGCGTGGCACATGGCGTTGAATGTTCATTTTTGCCATTTAATCTCACAACTTGTGCCTGATGTGCGAGTCTGGACTGTGCTAGCGCCTACCGCGCCTTGAAGAGCATTCAACTTTGTTTGTCCTTTCTTCGGTTGTTGGTCCTTAGACGCGTGCTTCCATACCAAAATCTTTACATAATTTGGGATTCACCTCATCAGACTGGCACTGTCCTTGGCATGATTTCGAATGAGACGTTTCCCTCTTTTCTCCCATATTCTCCTGTTACTCTTTCGCATTCATCGCTTGCATTCACTTTTTATGTTTGTGACCGTGGTCTTCAAAATAAATGATAACAGTAGTAGTACCGATCTCACCCTAGTTGGAAATCCAACTGGACCCACCAAAATCATCCTCTCGCTGGGAATTACTCTTTTGTAGAGATCCGATTCTCTCACCCCTGAATGGATATGGAGTACTTTTTGTAACAAAGTTTTATGTATAAATAGTGTCCAAAACGAAAAATGTTGTTCTCTGGTCACATGATTAGTTTGAATTTTTCTATTCGTGACATGACACCCTTCAGAGCGTTGGAATTAGTTAGTGATGCTTTAATGACGTATTTATTCTTCAGTGTCTTAGTCGCTGGTTGAATGTTTCCACGATGCTTCGTTGTCGATAGCCCTGTTGTTTCCAGTTCACCCTTGAAAGTCTGTTTCGTTTCCATCCTGTCGTATATTTGGGTTCTACTAGCGTTGGACTTTTGCAACTTTTCGGAGTATTGTTCCGCTAGCATTTTGATCCGAAATTTTCATTGTATCGAAGGGACGTGATAATTGCTTCATTCAGCCATACATTCACTGCGGAAATAGCTACTAATCCATCACATAAAAACGGCTGTATGTCGTTTCATTAACAACCAAATGAATATTACCAAATGAACAGTACCGCCAGTATGCGCTTTTTCAACCTGTACAGATGAACAGAGCTCAATGGACTGGAAGATTGTGAAGTTCGGTGGAGCTTATTCGGGAATGACACTGAAAAGATGTGGAACTCAAGGTCTACAGAATTACATCGATTTTCTCCGCGATACCTCCCTAGTGTTACCACTAAATGCAGCTTACTGTCTGGCAGTCCATATAAAGATGTTCTTGTATTTCAGTGGTTTTCAGGCAGAAAATATCCCAACCTGCACAGCAGATATCAAAAATGCTACACTATTTGAACACCAAGGTTGTTTTGGTCAGTTTAATTGATTAAAACAATCCATAGGGTAAGCTTAGTGCATGCATCAATTTTCGTTGTGCTGTGGACTTGTTCCGGTGTTCTCTGTCAGGAACACTATGTAGCAAAAGCTCCGTAAATCTCCCAAAAATGGGCCTCGTTAATGGGTGGTCGCTGTATTTTGATTCACCGCAAGGAACTCAACGACCACCAAACATACATTTGGCTCAAGATCAGAGATTGTCAACTCAACGAAGATCAAAAGCAAATGATTACGGAAAGAAATATTCTTGAAAGCTCAACAGCAGTCTTAGCTAATAACTAGTTGGTAGTACTTTTCTTCGGAAAAGATGAAGTTGAAGATGCCTACTTGAGTAGTTTGCTGAAGTTGTTTCCCAACAGGGAACGAATGGTATTGCATCTTCGTAACTTATTCTCTCCTCGGAGGATACTAATTAAGTTGGAAGTGTCTGATATTTTGTGGGCAAAGAAGATGTAATCTTTTCCGTTTGAAATGACAAAGAAGTTGATAAAACGTTATTTTCCAACGAAAGAACTGTTCAGAAATTTCCATGAACCGCCCACGCCGATCAAAAAACTGTCAGGACCTCGAACTGATGTCCGATGAATGTGAAGCAGTTTTTGCATTCTGAAGCAGGGTTGTTTTTCATCTATATATCTATTTGCTCATTTCTCGCTGCGATCTTTTGGCCTTTGAATTGAACAGATCAATTTTGGGTCTCTTCCTTCCATGTAGTCGCTCGTGTTCCGTTCGATATCTGGTTTATTTTTTATCTTGAACATCCATTTCTGCATGATGTAGTAAAAGTTCCCTAGATTCTCTCTCATCTTTTCTAATCACTGTACTTTTGGTTTTACAATGATAGGCCTTTTTGAACGGTTAACTATTTTAGCGGTATTTCATTGAAAGCGAGCAACTTGAATACTGGACAATTGTAAACGGCCAACAGCGAAGGTTTCGCCAAGCACCAAGTCAAAATTTTCTCTCAGTTAGTAATTTTCGTCAACATTTGCAGAAGTGCTGTTCGCTGGTCTTGCGGTCCTCCATTTCACAGTTCGTGATGGCATGTCATTTTCGGTTGAACGTCCCAAAATGCACCAGTGTCAGAGATAAAAAATTTCAAAGCTACTTAGTTTACTAAAACTCACGCACGAAGTCTCCTGATTTCCACTCTGTAAAAAATATTTCAAAGTGACATTTGTAAAAGCGCTAAAAAACCCGTCCAGAATATCATCTAGAGAGCATGGCAATTACTGTATATCATCTCTCGGAGGAAATATAGAGTGATGAAAGTTGAAATGATCACACATTTCCTTTCTGTCATGCAGGTACACGTGGCTCACGGAACACAAAACATGCTCCTACTCAGGTCATTGTCTATGTATCTTTGTAAGCGAAGATTTAATTGGTAGCCGCTTACAGTGAGGAATTGGAGGAAAAAATTACCGTTCACATGCCACTTGGGTTTTTTCGTCACTTCCCAACTTGTGCCAACAATATCCAACCGACCCATAGGTTCTGTAGCATTTTGCAGCGTAATTGTAGACATGAAATATTCTCTCTTGCCATTGTTATTTCAGGCACACAACTTCAAAAATGCACACACGTTGAGCTGCCCTTATTCCCTTTTTTCAAACTTGAAGTTCAGAGCATAGGCTGACTGGATTTGGAAACATTTTCTGGTAAAATAAGTGTCCTTTGTCTTTGGTCAGATGGAACAAAAGGCTGATGAAAAAGAAGTTTCACACCTCTCATGTAAGACCCAAGATGAGTGAAAATTTTTGGGGCTGTCAAGCAGTTTTCAACAAACTCATGAGAAAAGAAGAACAGGGAATGTGGTTTGAAAGATTTCGTAATTTTGAGTCCCTCCAAGCCTATAGGCAAATGAATAAGGGCGATTAGCTTCAGCCACGTGGTCCTTACGGATGTTCCTGACCCCCACGAAAGCAAGCCTGGAAAAAGCC